TCGCAATGAGTAATTTTTAAATAGCGTACAAATACGAAAAACGAGATCTGATATTACAACTGCGTGATAACGAATCGCAATATTGGATTTAAAAATGCGTGAATACGAATCGCGACGTTGGATTTTAAACTCGCGAGAATACAGATCGCGATATTGAATTTTTAAATTGAGTGAATAGGAATTGCTAGTACGATTTTTAAACAGCGTAAAAAAAGTCGCAACACATAAGTTTTAAATAAGTTAAATACGAAAATCGATGATTGATATTAAAATCGTCTGATTAAAAATCGCGATTTTAGCATATTCCAGCGCAGTTCCTAATATTTAAAATTCCGAAAATCAGCCAAACGAAGAAAAAAAAATCAATTACCGGTGGTCGAAACGAAACGCTTAGACTCCTTTCCACTCTATAGCAGAAGTCGCGGTAATCCGACTATCGTTCGGGCGGCTTGGGTTTCTCCAATAGGACTTCCCAAAAATTTTAGTTTTTGGAACATGGTCGGAAATTTTCAAAATTGGGAGAAAAAAAGCGGATTTCCGCTTTTTCGTGGAAGTCTTTCATCCCTTGGAGACGTGAACGGCAAAATGATCTCCAATGACTCACGGCAATGCGGATTAATATTTGAAACTGAATTCAGGTTTGCCAAATTTTGGACGTTTTGTCTCAGAATGGCGCAGCTTTGGCAGAAACTGAGCTGAATGTCGCAAAATGGCGCAGTTATGCCGTTTTGTCTCAGTTTGTCGCAAATGGCGCAGGCGTAGCATCCCTGTAAAGAAATAAAGCTTGTTGTGAGAAATGGAAATGAATTCATAAATACTCACTAAACCAAATTCTTCCACTCCATTGGCCATGTAAGGAGTTTCTACTGGAGGTGTTTCAATATCTTCTACAGGATGAGCTTCTGATTCTGAGTCAGTAGAATGTATGCTATGAATACCATCAATATCAATATCAATTTCTTTATTATCATCAGTATGAACATCATCATCCAAATCTAAAGTAAAAGAAAAAAGCAAAGAATTGTGAAATGTTTTAAATATTACACTCCTTCCTCAGGTGGAATTATACAAAATTTAAAAAGATTTAGCACTAGCCTAAGATGTAAAACAAGATTTTCAGATAATGCACAGAGTGACAGAAAAATCTTGTCTCAAGTAAACCAAACATAACTTGTTACATAATAGCAAAATATTATATTTATATTAGATTCAGTGACAATATTCGGATTGATGTTATGAAATGAAATTAAGAAAGAAAACTGGGTAAGAAACAATATAAATGAAGTAATCTATATCAATATTGCTCATATAGCATGCGTATTATTTCCTATACTTTAACATTACATTCAATTCATTGAATTGCTTAAATGATTCTTTGAGTTGGTTAGTCAATTCATTTGAGCAGTTTCATATCTTTTAACATTCAGAGAACTGTCTCGTTCAACGAATCTATTCTTTTCCATTGTATCTTTTTTTCTCACATTAAGGGATACGTACAGGGGGCTATTAAACGTTTAATAAGAGATAGTCTGTTTGTTTTTATCAATTTTAGGTTTAAGATACTTTTTAAATTTTTTTAAACTAAAAAATAGTTTTGGGTAATATTTTTTTGATATTTAGAGTAGAAATTTTTTTCATATTGAAGGAGATTTTATTTAAAAAAAAAAATTTTAAAAGGGATATTTTCAGTCAAATCTATTATATTTTCAAATGTTTTGAAATAAACATTCTTTTTAAGAAAAAATTCGTCAAAAAAAAAAAATGGTTTCTTAACGCTGAAAATTATTTTCAAACTAATATCTTTACATGTCTTGATGTTTTTGTCTTTAAAAATGTCAACAATTAACTTTTTTAACAATTTTATATCAATATTTTACTAAAAACATGATTATTAAACTGAATTCCTATCGCTGCACAAAGAAGCCCCATTTGGGGGCTACTTTGTGCAAGGTATGTTTTGACTTATTATTCGTAAATATTACATACAAATAATGCCAATATTGATCAAATTCAATCGTCTGAGTCCAGTTATGAATATAATATCGATAAATTTTACTAAAGTTTGAATTAACATAGTTTTTTTACATGTCAAAGTTCAAAAACTGTGAAATCCTGCACAAAGTAGCCCCGAATGACGGTACTATAATAGTTTGAAAATATTTGAAAATTTAGTAACATATTAACTAAGTTCATTGCTACGCCCAAGAATATGTCAACAAAAATAGAGCTGAAGTCCTTTGCAGGTACTTAACGTTGATCTATTCAAATACCTTGCATATTAATAAGCCAAAAAAAAAAATGAAATACACGCTAATTTAAATTATGTGGTATTGTATTATATAACATTTTTTAAAATATTAAAATTATAAAAATAGGCTTTACCATGATCCTGGAAATGTTTTTCAGGATCGATTTCTTTCCAAGTAGGTAGTGGTTCTTGAGAAGATGAAGTGGTAGGAATTGTACCATGAGGGGTGGATGACTGGGGTTCTCGCCCACTCATAGTTCGCATTAGTAAGGATGAACATCGTAATGCAAGTTCTAGGGCATCCATCCAGCATTTTCCAGCCTGCTCAGAGGGTGCTCTAAAAATTAAATGAGCTACCGGAAGTGGTTGAACAAGAGCACCAATTGTTTCCCCTTTTGGCCCCTAAAAACAATAATAAACTTTATAATTCAAAAACAAACAAAAATTTAAATTTTTAAGAAATTTGAAAGTTCCACAAACTTAATTTAAGGTATGATTAATATACACTACAATAAAGGAAGAGGCAGGCACTTTGAGTTTTTGACATTTTTTAAATCTCTCAAGAAATAAAAGAATTGTTTTTTAACTTTAGAGATACTTAGTTCATGCATTCAGAGGTTTGGGAGACTGACAATAAATTACGAAAGAAAACAAGTATTTTTCAACACGCTATGCTAGAAAATCAAGCAACAAACTTGTAACTAGTATTGATTACTTTAGATGTTACTTTTAATAACTGCATAAAATTTCATAAACCTAGAGTAAATATTAGTGGAGATATAGACATTTTTATAAAAAATTAATTTTTTTACCATATGTTTTATGGATATAACTTTATAAACATTCAATGGAATAAATTTTTTTTAAAGCAATTTAAAATTAATTACAAAACTAGTTATTTAAAAATATTAAAATATTATTAAAAACTGTGCAAGATATAAGTATTTAAGGCAGTTCTTTTATACTGCGGATCGTGGAAAAAATATAAAAACCTTTTTTCTTAATTTTGTAGTGAATCGTATTTGGCAACCAATAAAAAAAATTTGATTTAAATCTATTATATATAATTCTCTTACGTGGCTCCCAAATTTTGACTGTATTTCTTTTCCGCTGGTGGCAACAGTTTTCATTTTTAAAGAAGTACTTTGTACAACTAAATAAGATTCTTTTCACAACACTTAAATAAATATTTACTTTATTTTCTTCAAATATACAGAAAACAGTCGGCAAAGAATTCTGTTAGGTTAAAAAACATTTCGCTAAAAAAATTACGAATTCTAAAAGAAATAAAAATAAACAACTTAAAAAATAAAAATGCTGTTGCCAGCCATAGAATTTTTTGAAAGTTAACTTAGCAACATAAATCAAAATGACATAGAAGCGCAACTAGATCAAAATTATGATACCTGAGCGCTTGACGTAACAAATCCTTCAATTCTAAAAGTGTTGTATCGCCAAATGCCCAAATTAACAATTGTGTTCTTAAAGAAATTCTATAAAAAGTTTTAAATAAACAACCTACTTCTACAACTGCTTCTTGAAGAACTTGGCTCATTGATTAAAAATATTGTTTTAATTTTACAGTACTAACTTTACTTCTACTTTCATTATTGCTATGACCCTCTTTCATTACATTTTACAACTTCATGCTAAATTTGAGGACTTTAAGTTGTTTTGTGGTTGAATACTGACATTTAGAAATGTGTACATAAAAAAAATAATATTTAGAGGTTAAGAGTTGCCTCAGAAAAATTTGAATTGTTGACATTGAACTTAACAATGGAAACAATCGTTTTTGTGAAAAATTGAATTGTATTGTTGACATCAAAACTAAAAATATTGTGTTTCAACTTAACAATACTACCTTAATTTATACTTTAGAATTGCCTCGGAGAAATTTGAATTGTTAGCAATGACTTAAACAAAAAGTTTTATTTTAACTGACAAATACTATATTATAATTTTAACTTTTTCTATGACTATACTCATTTTCTTACTCTTTTCTTTGTTTTTTATACATTTTATATTTTTGTGATAAAATAAAAAACTTATAGTTGTTCTGCTTCTGAACACTGATGAAAACACAAAATGATGGGCTTCATCAACAATCAAAAATATATACATTTATTTTACAAATTCCATATTATTAAGGTGGCGCCCTTCAGAGAATTAAAAATACAAAATTATCTTCATCAAAGCCGATGCTTTACATCCGGCGTTCAGTGGCAGACTACTATTTCATATTGTTTTACAACACATGGCTTTAGCCCTCTGGTGGGAAAGACTTTAAAACAAAACTTACAACAGTTACTTTTCTCAACAACTGAAATTTAGAATAGTGTGATTAAGCAAAATATGTGAACTGTTTGCAATTTCAAATTAATATTGAAATGTACAGGTTTAGAATTTTCTACAGTGAAAAGTTTTCGGAACATCAGTATTCAAAAAAGTATACAAAAGCTAGACGTTAAGAACGTATCCAATGAGCGAGCAAAGCGAGCATTGGATTGCGAAGCAATCCGAAATGAACTGCGAAAGCAGTTCCGGGGGTTGGCGAGCGCCAGCGAGTAGGGGGCAAAGCCTCCTAGTATCTTAATAATTTAAAAAGCTTCAAGCAATTCTCAAGGTAGTTTTTGTACTTTTTAAAAGAAAGTTTAAAAGTATAAGGGGTTTTAGTGAAATTTGCACTATTAAACAAAAATTAAAAATGAGACCGGCATTGTGAGGGATCATCCCCCATTAAAGGTTTTCTACCGCATGTTTTGTTTTCTCATACCATCATTAAGGACAATTATTTAGGTATTATCATTGGTGATTAAATTTTGTTTCATGAAACAAAATAAAATTTGTGGAAAACCCATGATCGTTCTGAGCTTTCTTTTAAAAAGTATAAAGACTACTTATAAAATTGCTTCAAATTTTTTAAACTAAGATATTCAAATTAAGATGTTTACATTGATTGGCAAATTTGATTTCCTAGAAAATAAAGAAATTTTTTTTTAAATATTCTTTACACATGCACAGCATAAAAGAACTACCTTAAATAATTATATCTTGCACAGTTTTTAACAATTTTTTTTTTAAATTTTAAATAAATAATTCTGTAATTAATTTTAAATTATTCCAAAAATAGGGTTTGATTCCATTGAATATTTATGAAGTTATAGCAAAAAAACCTAAGTCAAAAAATGAGTTTTTTTTTTTTTTTTTTTTTATAAAAATGTCCATATTCCTATAAATATTTACCTTAATTTTACGAAATTTTATGTAGAAATTAAAAATAACAACTTAAGTAATCAATACAATTTACAAGCTTATTGCTTGATTTTCTAGCATAGCGTGTTCAAAAATACACTGGTTTTCTTTCGGAATTTAATGTTGGTCTCCCAAACCTGTGAAAGCTTTAAATCTTATTACTTAGTACGAAAAATCGCATGAACTAAACATCTCTAAAGCCATAAAATAATCTTTTAAGTATTTCTTGAGGAATTTAAAAAAATATCAAAAATTCAAAGTGTCTCTTCCATTATTGTAGGGTAGGGTAAAGTGCTCCAAATATTGGTAGTTTATGGCAGTCGTAATCTAAGAAATAGCTCTTAATTCATGAGGATTTTCAATATAAATATTATTTCAATAAAGTTTTTGGGAAATAATCATTAATATTTTTCATTTTTGCTTTTATAAAAAAAATCAGTTTCAAATTGGAAAAACACTGATTCAAATTTTCCTTATCTTTCCCCTTGAATTAGTTCCACTTTTCCTTCCCAATTTTCGTCTTTCATTACTGCTTTTTCTTGTTACACAATATCTATAAATGTAAAATCAATTTTTTTTTCATTCCAATTTTTTTTCTTTGCATTAGAAGCTAAACAAAACCTCAAATTTATATTAATCAGATAAAAAAAAAAGAATATTAAATTCTATCATTCAGATAAAAAAAGTATAGGACAACATTTAAAGCTTGAAAGCTAAAAAAATAAGTATATAGAAACACAAATTATATGGAATAAAAAATAATTAGCATTGATTTATACAAAAGTACTTATATTTCATTGTCTGAACAATAAAAGCTTTAAAAAAAAAAGAAGAAAAACTTAGAAATTAAGATAAAAGTTTTATCTACTGTACAAAAGAAGAATGATCAGTAATAGATTAAGCCATAGACTCATATATATTTTCCATTTCTCTTATCTAGAAACTGATTGAAAAATAAAAGACAAGAAACATATAAAATAACATTTTTGGTTTGAAAAAGGTTAAAAGATCAAGAAATCCTATTTTAAAAATATAAATAGCAAAATTGTGTAGTTCAGTATTGAAAATGTAAACAATATTTTTCAAAACAATTATAATTTCATTAAAAATACTTCTATGTATTTAAAACTGATGCAAATTATTACTTATTTCGATATTAAAATTTTTGAAGTGACATTCATTTAAAGTAAATCAGACCTTGGATGCCCAAATAGATTGTTCCATAGGATGATAAAGCTTGAAGCAAAATCCATCTTTTTTAGAAGGTCTCTCAATCAATTCACAGGCATTGAGTAGAACTGTTCCAACCCACTGACTACTCTGGAAATTAGAAAGGGATATTAAAATAACGTAATAAACACATAACTGTATATTAACCAAAAACTACGAATTGAAGAAACTGTTTTGATTATATATTGCACAGTAGAATAAAATTAGGAAATTTTATAACTATGCAGTGGCAGCATTTTAAATAGTGGCCCCTTTTGAAAACGTGTGATCACTTTTTCTAAAATTAAAAATTCTAATTTGTTAGAAAACAACAATTGATATTTATTAATACTTTCTTTTGAAGCCTTTCTCAAAATATGATAAATACTACTGAGTTGATTTCTAAAATGAAGAAAAATTTTCCAGATCTCTCCAAGTACTTCTAAGTAAAATTAAAGCATTGTATATCACATTTTTTTACTAATAAAATCTATGGTTTGAGTTTTTGAACCAAAAACACAACACAAAATTTGTGTTTTTTAACATTAAATTCATTCACTACAAAATAAATCTAAAATTATTATTATCATTATGCTAAAATTATATTAATTTGAGTAATTTTAAATATTATTAGTTATAAATTAAAAAAGGTGAAATGAAATTATTTTTAACTCTTATGAAACCTTTGATATCCTAACTCAGTCACCTCGAAATTTTGAACCACCATAAAATGACCTGACTGTTCCAAGGATGATTAGTGCTTTCCCATGTAATAAATAATATGATAAGTTGTAAGTGTGAGTTTCAGAACACATGGAGTGCATTTTTGGTGGAAAAAAAAGAGGTGATAAGGTGACGACTAACAAACAAATTTTTTATTTTGATTTTTTTTTATACATTAGTTGCCCTTTGGCTAGAAACAACTGCTAATTTTGCCCTATATATTGCACTAAAACAACAATACTACAAGGAAAACTACTAACATAATATTTCAAATATTTAAATATGAAAAAAATTATTAAAATACCAATGAAAAAAAATTAATTACTTTATGTGTTTTTGGACTTTTGTACAACAGAAGTAATCCAGGCTTCAAAACACACCACAGTTTGGTCCAGCCTTTTAAAGTTCCCCGTACTTTTAGCCAATCAGCTAATACAATTATTGTTGGATCTTTAAGAGTACATGACAACTCTTTAGCCACCCGCTTCTTTTCCCTTCTGTAATTTTTGCGCTGTGCCTGAATAAGAAGCAAAGGTTTAATTTACACAAAATAAAACACAATTTCAATTTCTTTTTTGCATTGGAGCTTACAAGAAACAGTAGTATGATTTACATTAAACAAGCAAGCTCTTTTCCTCTATACCAACACCTATAATATATTGCTATTTATTATGTACATGCACATAAATTTAAACCTGTAGAAAAAAATCTTATAGTAACACATTATATAAAACATGATAGGTAATTGTTAAAATGTGTAATCCATCTTAGCGCTATACTTGATACTTTCTTAAAACTTGACTATTCTGACACAAGATATGAAAAGGAATTTTTCTGCTATACAGCAAGAGATTTTTGTTACATTTGGCTCACTAAAAAATCTCTCATTTTAATAGCAATTGAATAATTTATCCAATTTACCAATATTACAATAATAACAGTATTATTTATCAACTTTCACATTGTCATTGTATCATAATAGACATTTAAGATTGATGTATTTATAAAATTATTTCTGTAAATAAACATAACTTCAGTACTGTATTAATGTACTAGTACTATACTAACATTGTCACTTTTCTTGCTATTAAGCGTTATTTATTTTTTAGTTTAATTTATTTCAAAATTATAATAAAACATTAACATATTCATATGATAATAAATATTCAACAACAATTTATTTGTTCTATTTCTTTTTTTCCCATGAATTCATGAATTGAAGAACTGATAAAGAGAATTATAAAAAAGTTTCATACAATTTTTTGGGTAGCTCTAAAATGCATTAATGCAAAATTGTGTCCTAGCATAAAATTCTCATTGATTAAATGAGCAACAAAAACGTCAAAACATTTTGTTCAATGTAATAACTTTAGTGGCTACTTCAAAAAGTATTAAAAAAAATTTTTTTTTTCTTTCAAAAACTGATTTCTGATATAACTTTCATTTTACAGGGAAATATAATGGTATTCAAGCATTGAAAAACTCAAGCAAGTTACTCTCATGAAACATCAAAAACAGTGAAAAGATTAGTAATTTTTTAAAGACAATTTTAGTAAACAAATAAGAAACAAGCATAGTAATGCTAACAAATGACTTCCTGTTAAGAATCCAAAATAAAGTGATCAATGTCTAGTTTAGTTGAAACTAAATCACATACATTTGTTTTTTTTGACTGCTTGATTTAGTAAAAACTAAATATTTTTTAATCATGAGATTTATTAAAACTCGCTATTTTATCCCAGCTTAGTCATTAAAAGTTTGAGTTTTAATTTTTGAGTGAAATCCATTTTATTGTCAAATGTAATACTTAATAAAGATAAAAAAAACACAACTTAATATTTGCAGAAAAACTATTTTAGTACTTAAAAAATGGTAGAAAATAAAAGAATGGTATTTTAATTTAATTTAGGGATCTTTGATAAAATTGGATATAAATGAAATTACAGCAACATTTTCATAACATTCCTAATTACCATAAAAATAATATTCTGTAAAACATATTTATCCATTTAAAATAAAAAGAATGAATACATAAATCTGAATAATATTAAGAGTATGAACTAGATATATTATGACTTAGCAAAACAATGCCATGCTGATGTTTACTTTCACTAGTCATATATGAACTGGAGAGCATGAGCACAGAAATAGTTGTACTAACCAATCATTGCTTTTAGGATCTAATTCAGTTTTTTCTTAATTTTAAGACAAGTAAAATTAATGTTGGGCATTTAAATATCAACTTAACCAGAAAGAATTAAGCATAAATTAAAAACTGGTGAATAATTGAATCAAATAATTATTCATATCATAACTAATTTTCTACAAAATATTGAGAGAAAGTTTGATTTTAAATTACTCATTTAATCATACAATCAAATTAGGGTTTAAAGTAGACATTCAAAAGAACAAGCTGGGACCCATTGGAATTTGTTGAAGGCACATGGAATTTCCAGGAAATTTTGTGACAGGATTTGGTGTGAGGGGGGGGGGACTTAAGTAACGATATTTCAATGTATGCGAGGTTTATTTTTTCTTGGTGCATTTTTTCATGCTGAATCAACTACAACCAAGTTCGAAATGATAGGACGAAAAGTCCACAACAGTGGTTCCCAACGATCTCCCCAAGAGGCAAGAGAATTAATAATCCTCAGGTGGGCGATGAGTATTCAAAAGAAAAAATTTGCAATTAATAATAATTAAAAAAGGAGGCAAATCACTACCGTCAACATATTTAGTAGAGAGAAGATTTAGCTTGGTCATCCAGCTTCTCGTAAAACAAAGAAGTAGGTTGGACATTTCATTCAAAGGAGACTTACGCTTAAATCTGGCGACCATAAAGCCTGATATTCAAGCTTTAACTGAAATCCCTCAAGCAGAAGGCAGTCATTAAAGAGGTAAAAATGGGCAAATGAGTTTTAAAATTTTCAGTCACTTGCAACAATGAACATTTTTTTTTTCGATCAAAAAGAAGAAAGGGGCGATAAATGTCAGCCAATTTCTAGAGGGAGCAACAAACGGTTGGGAACCACTGCTCTAGAAGATATAATGGTTTTATTGGCAAAATATACTTGTTTGTACTTCTACATATTTACACAGGTAAAGATAGTTTCTAATGTATTTTTTCTGGCTGAATTGAATGAAAATATACACAAGTCGAAAGAACAAATAATTCAAAAGTTGCGAGCATTTTTATGTCTAAACATACTTTTTTCCTCAAGCACTTACGTTGTACTTTACATTGCTACCCAAGAGCTATATGAACAATTATGTGATGTAACCTTACGAGCGGAATTTGAATGAGATCAATCCCAAAACGATCAGACTAATAGTTTAGAAGTTATAAGTGTTTTATGTACAAGAGTACAATTTTGTGCTCACACTTATTTACACATCCTAAATTACTATACAAACAGCCCTATTGACTTGGTCTTATTTCATTAAATGAAAAAAATACATTGGAAACAATACCTCCCTTGTATGAATAGTAATATATAGCTTTAAGTAAAACTGATGTTAAGCATTTAAATATCAACTTAATTAGACAAGAAATAAATATAAACTAAAAACTGCTAAATAAATTATTCTTGTAAAACTAATTTTCTACATAATACAGAGAGAAATTTTAATTTAAGAGCATTCAATTAAGTAATAGAGTATTTTATTTTCTATCCATCGTTGAACAATCGACCCAATTTTTGGGGTTTCGACTACTAATGCTCAACTCGCTAGCCTTGTAATTTTGAACCAATCCAGAAGACAAAGTAATTCCTGGATCAGTACCAGGGTTCCCACTCAATTTTTTCTTAAAAATTCAAGGACTTTTCAATGACTTTCAAGGACCTAAAAATCAAATTTTTCAAGGACCTATTTGGTATTATTCTTATATGCTAAAGTAGTACATGTCAACCAGATTTTACAATTACGTAGAAGTAGAAATTGTATATTTTAAACTCACAATGCTTATTTGACAACAAAATTTTTTTATTATTAAATTTATCAGCTAATAATACAAATGATTGATACATTGCTGTTTCAAATCACTTAGAAAAATTCCAATTGACAGAAGAAAAAAAATCCAACAATACAAACTAACATTAGTGTAACTTTTCATGAAAAATTAGAATTAATGAAACTAAATGAATGTATAATGCATATTATACATTCATTTAGTTTCTTTCAAACAAGCATAGTAAATAATTGATAAAGGTTGTTTAATTGCATGGTTATTAAATTATAAATATTTTTTTTAATATGTTAGACCAAATTTTAGGTTACAGGAAATGTATATAATTAGATAAATTATCAATTTAACATATCTGTTTCAATTATAATATCAAATTTTTGATTTTGTTAGAATATTAGTAATGTATTTTGAACACAATAAAATCTATTGTAGAACAATATTTCACAGATAACTATCGAAGACTTACTGAGCTTTATTTTCTTTAAAATATATCCATAAAATGTGAAGCATGATTTTTAAAATTTTGTGAAAATGCGTAATTTTCACCAAGCGTAATTTTTAAATCGCATTTATATGAATCTAAATAAACTATATGTAAATCGAAATTATAAGAAAAGTGCAGTAAGTCTCTAAGATTGCGTAAATCACATATCACAATGTATAATTTGTAAATTGAAATTGAATAGCAGTGTATGTTTCTTAAATCGGAATAATATGAATAGCAAATTATACAAAATGCATGAACTAACAAGACATAAGCCACAATGTAAGATCACCACACCTGCCAACTTTTAATCCCTTCCATAATGATTTTTCCCAGTGGTATTAAAATTTGAATTTTAAGCAAAAAAAAATATGTTGCATTTGAAAAAGCTTAAGCTGACAAACATGATAGTAACACATAAAAATATATATGCTTAATTTTTTTAAGAATAGTGGTGAACAAAATAATTTAAAAATTAAGTTAATAAAAGAAAAAAATAGTATATATTTACTACCACTTTAAATATAAAAATAAAATTTTATGCCAAATGCGTAAAACTTGACAGGTATGAAGATACATAAATCACTTTAATGTGAATTCTGTTACGTGATTAGCTAATAGTTTTCATGAGAATAGGGATCATTAAGATGCAAATTGCAATTTGGGATTCGAAAGGTGCCTTATGTAGAACAGCTATGTGTGATTCTTAAATCACTTTTATGAGAATTGTGGGTGGTAATTCTTAAATCTCTCTTTTGTGAATCGCAATACGTGATTTATAAACTACTAGAATGAGAATTGTGAGGCATGATTCTGAAATTACTTAAATACGTTATATGATTCAGAAATAACTTCTGATGAGATCTGATGTGAATTCTGATGAGTAATTGGCAAATCACTTTACAATAATATTCAATATGTGATTCATTAATCACTTTCAGTTAAACCGCAATTTGTAGAACATTTTATATGAATTACGATCTGTAAATCAAGAATCAGTTTAATGTGAATCACGATGTTTATTCATAATCAATGAAACCTGTAGAACTAAATTTTATTTATTAGCAGTAAAAACTAAATGTAAAAATTTGATTGTAAATGATAAAAAATGAATTATTCTCGGTACATAAATTAAAAGAACAAATAGGATAACAATATTACCCTGTCATAATAATGGAGTTAACACATTGAACATATTTCTAAATCAATTGAACACTTAATATTATTCGAAAACTATGACTAAAAAACCTAAAATTTTCTGGAAATTTTAGCTTTCAAGACATCAGAGTCTGAAAAATCTGGGAGAAAAAAGTTTTGAGAGAAAAATTGCATCAATCAGAATTTCTATGATTTTCCTTTGAATTTATTTATTATTTTTTTTCTACTTTTTTGTAAGAAAAATTAGTAGTATTTTAATTCCTAAAAAATCGAGTACTTTTCAAGTACCCTATGGCAGAATTCAAGGACTTTTCAGGACCCTGATTTTTTTAACCAAATTCAAGGACTTTCAAGGTTTTTCAAGTACCATGGGAACCCTGAGTACCCTTAGAGGTATTGATTTGTTATGGGAACATGGAGGACTTTGCGACCCGACAGGTAAGACGTGCACCAGACACCATTTACTACACGGGGAGTCTCCGGCCATCCTGGGATCGAAACGGGCATTTGAAACTTTTAGAATCATAACTGGAAAAAAAAAACTGAAAGAGTATAGAATATTGCACATTTTCAAGAACTACAGTTATGCGCAGTATGAAACCTAAACCTTATGGATGAAACATTATGCTGAAAACAATTTTGCAATATTCATATTTTGTTTTTGAACTGCACTTTTTCTTCTATTATTGTATTTCTTTCATTTCTGTGAAGTATCTAGATTAAATTTCAAGGACACTCTGCAAATATGTGCCAATTGGACAATTTTTGAATAAAAACATGTCAAGGTTGGGATTCAAGAGCTTTTTCACCACAGTTACTTCAGGCAAGTTAAACCAAGAAACTTCTTAAATTGCAATATATTAAGCTTTAAAACCAGAAGTTTACAACAAATTTAACAGTCATGAAACACTTTTAATTATAAAAAGTAAAGTGAATTCCTCTTGTATTTTTTCAGTCAAGTTCACTGTCACTGTATCACCAATAACTTCCAAGTTTCCATAAATTAGATTAAAAACTTCACACCATTTGGGTTACTAATGCAGTTTTTCTCCAAAGTTTCAATTCCTTATTTATTAAAGGCACTGTTTCTTACTAATTAATTAGACAGATAAATGATTAATTGCGACAAAATTTCCTTAAAATATGCCAATTGGTAAATATGCCAATAAAAAAAAGATTTACACAGCCAATAGATTGCGTTAAGTGTTTATAGAAACTGAAAGAAATCGTCTTACTTCAGGGTCATTCTTAAATTATGTAGTGATTAAATGTACTAAAATTTAGATGAATTTACAAAAATTATATATCTGACACCTCTAACAAGAACATATTTTTATTTGTAATTTATATGTAATTTATTCATTATTCAAATATTTTTTTTTATTTTATAATCAAATACATTTTAAAAACCTATAATCAATTAGCAAAATACCTTATAAGATTCTCTTTTATCAAGTTTAGATGTCGACGATGGCTCTGCTGTCATATCACCCTAAAAAAAACATTACAAATTATATTCATAAAATATACTAATTCAAATTTTTGATATTTCTTAAAATTTTAATTCTATAGATAAGCAATAAAATGCAATGTTCGCAATCTTTGAAAGCATTAAAGCATTCTAGACTTTTCAAAACTGGCAAAAATAATGAGTCTACCTGACACATGCCTAGTTATAATTGTTATCTAGTTAAGAAATCTAACTTAAAAATTTAAAATCTAACTTCTTCTATTGGCGTGACAGCCCTTTGTGAGCCAGCGCCTTCCTCCATTCTGCTCTTTCTCAATTCTGCTTAATAGACAAGTAATTTATTATTGATCGTTAAAAGATTTTTGATTAATTTAAAATGAGAGTTCTAAATGAAAATAAACTAAAAACTGATTACTACAAATGAGGCTCTCTTCTTTATGTAATAGTAATACTTATTTAAGTATTCAAGCAAGCACTAAACTGTGTAACAATCCTATTTCAATAGGGATTTTTATTTTTTTAGAAAACTTACTCATTTTTAGGGACTTTTCTAAAATGAATAAAAACTAGGAGAATTTTTATAAACCAGTAGACTAAGAAAAATTGGCAAAATCCAGTAGTCTACTAGTAAATCCAGTAGAGTTAGCAGCTATGGGTAGCATTATTTTTTAAAGTTAACAAAACAAATATGGCCACATTTAAAAATTCTAAAACATATTAAATCAACAAAATAAAATATTAAGTAATTTCTTTACCGAGATGAACACAGATCAATTTTTATATAACAATTTTGTGTCGCTTTCAATGGTTGAACTGAGGGGACTTTAGACATCCAAAAAAACTCAGTCCTAGCACCAAGAAGTTCAAATTTTTAGTTGGGGAGTTATTGATGAATAATATAACCAAAAATAAAACCAACCCTGTATTATTAATTTGAAATAATCTGGCTACAGTTTAATCCCCAAAAAGGTTGTTAGAATTTAATATAACCAAATAACAAAACATTTTTTTTTATTACAAAATAAAGTAGTTTAAAGAAAAATAGAGTTTGATATTTGATTTGGCCGCAAGACTCAACTAATGAGTTATACATTTGTATTGAATTAAAATCATTATCCTATTGGTTGTCAGGAAAAGAATAAAAGTATGTAGATTTGCTTTTTTTTATACATAAAATGTGATAAAATTTAAATAATTGGCTTAATTTAATTACAAGAGGATTCAGAATGATTAAAAAAAATTAAATTTCTGAAATTAAAGAAATTTTAAAAGCTGAGAAACATGTAATGTCTATAATGCCATCACAGATGCATACTTTTTTTAATAAATAAAATAAATAATATGTTGGACGAATCTGTAAAGAAATCAAACATTCAATTAATTGCAACATAATTTTTAAAATGTTGTTTAAATTTTTACTTTAAAAGGATAATTTTTGCATCGAATTTAGAAAAGAATTTATAAATATACATCACAAATTACTCTGTAGATATCATGCAATAGTTTCACTATTAGTTATTAAAAAATATTAGCTGTTTTTTTAAGAAAAAAAATACAATAAAAATAGAATAATCTCAAAATAATAAGGCAAAAATTCTTTTAAAAAATTAAGACGATGGCTCTTTTCCCACACGAGTCTTGAGCGAAAGATACATGCATTTTCTTTGTATCCCTCAGGGGTATTACAGAGACTACAATCTTTTTCTTTCTCTCCATCATTTAAAGTATAAAATGTTTTTTTTCTTAAGGGGGAGAGAGAAGATAAATAATTTAGGATCCATTCACTTTGCCTCAAGATAAAAAAGATATTCCAATTAATTGCTTGAAAATTACCTAATAAGTTTCTTTTTATAACAAAATTTCAGTTGCACTTGGTTAATGTCGCATAACTGTTGGAATACAAAAAACAAGAAAAAGTTATAATCCAAACAACTATTTTGATTATCAGTGCAAATACTGAGAATTATATTTAAATCATAACACTACCATTGTTGTTTGTTTAATTCCATTTTAATATTACTCACATTAGCAGTGCTAAAAAAATAAAGTAAAAATTATTCAATTAGTCAGATAGAAATAAAATAATATACTTTAGGTGATGTACTTGGTGTGCTTGAGACCTCAGAATACCTTGGTGTCATTGAATGTTCCTCGCTTAAATCATGACCTAAAAAAAAATTTTAATAAATGAATAAAGAAATTACTAATTTACTAATTAGAAATTGCCTATTCTTTAAACAAAAATCACATAAAATATTTTTAATATCATCAATGACAGTCTAAGCTGTATTTTATAAATATAGCCTCATTTATTAAAAAAGCGAATGGCTATTAAAATTAAGCAAATGACTAAAATTGTTAAAAATAGAATCGAATAACTGAAATTTGTAAAACATTTGATACAAGATTTAAAGCACAAAATTTTTGTTTTGTATCCTAAGATTCGCTCTGCTTAGAATATTTCATTTTCATAGCTAAATTCAGAGAATAAAGCATTCATAATTGGCAACTATATTTTAACTTTCATTATTTTTCCTAAGTAAACTGATACATCAAGACTATTGAATAATTATTTTTTCTATTTATTATATTGAATAATTATTTTAATATTATTTTTTCAACAAATAAGTATGTACAAAGTAATTTTTTAGCATTAAAATAATCACTCGTGTACTATTTTATTATTAAATTGCATCGATTATTAAAATATTAATCAAATTATAAGACTAAAAATAATGCTACTTTTTGTTTTAGCAATATTTCTGGAAGAATTGCAAAATTCCAAAGGTTAATAAACAATTCATTCAAGAAACATTATAACGAAACAATAATAAAACGTTACATAAATATTTGAGATATGCACAGTGCAAAAAAATTTTAAAACTAAATATTCACTAAAATAAGCAGTTCTCCAAGTACAACCAATATATTTACAGTAAATAAAACATTCTTTTAATTTATTCCTCAGTTTTCTCGGTATCGACTTATCAGAGGAAAAAAACCGTCACATTGCAGACGATGTTTACACTTACTGCTAATGAAGAAGACGAACGCCGATAAACAGAAACCAAATTAGTATTCCACACCTATCGCAGCTTTGCCGCGACAATTGATTGTCGCACTAACGGTGCGGTATACATAAATTTACATAATCCAGAAACAACAGCAAAACTAAGGAAAATCAGTAAGAAAAGTTAGTGAAACTGTTATGACAACATTGGCAGTCGAACGGTTCCGTGAAAACTAAACTGCAGAGCAGAAGAGCAGCTTTCGAATGACGTAATAGCTCAACTCTAGGGGCTCCTCGCTTTTGACCAATGCAGAACGAATGTTTCCTCGTTTGCGCGGCGCGATTGCGTGCTTTGCCTTTCTACGTTGTCATGGTTACATCCGAAAAATTCATGTTCTTCCCTAAGCATCCCGCCCGGATTCATCATCCCTGAGTTGGGAGTAGAAAGACGAACATCCTTTTTACTGATATCCTAAATTCAATAAATTCTCTTTGTGACTTAGCTTTAAGAAAATTCGGAACTGCTCAGATTGCATTTGTTTAATTTTCGTTAGCTTGTTGACAAATTTTTGTAATTTGAAAAGGAAAAGAGAGGGAAAATTCAATCTCTAATCTATTTGAATCTTCATAAACAGATTTATTGGAGATAAAAATAAAAAAAAGATGATTACTTCTTTTTAAACAAAAACATAAATTTCAATTTTAATATTATTTTTTTAGAATTTCTAAGTATGAAGTTGTAGTACGTATTCAAATATTATGTAATTAACTGCTATTTGAGAAAACAATTCTACATAGTATTACTTGATTAAAAACTTCATTCGCTTTAAAAATATATAAATAGAAAATAACAGTTGTCTTGTTTCAAGCACTCAAACACAGGAGCTCGTTTTCAAGATTTGCCAGATGTGAATGAGAAGAAATAGAAGTGATTGGATATAAAAATGTGAAGTTGTCTACGAAAAAATGGAAAAATATTGGTGAATAACGAAACTAGAAAAACCATGGTTAACAGAGGCCTATTAAAAAAAAATCAAATTTAAATCTCTTAAAGATCCTATTAGCTTTGATAATCGTCGGGGCATTTCCAACATTTCTTTTCAGTACGACCGTAACTACATCAGACAAACTAGACGCGCTTTAAAATTCAAACTTTAGAAACACGATAGAAATTTTCGATATCAAGTATATGAAAAATCATGAATTGCTGCACATTGCTGGAGTCTTGGGCATAAATTCAATTTCGTAAATGCCAAAATAATTTCCACGTCTTATCTTGATGCACTGGAATCTTGTTTTATTCATATAAATGCTGATTCTCTTGTTAACGACATTAGTTCCGCACTACTTCTCCGTAACGCGTGGAAATGCATTTTACCCTTCTTTTTTTTTTTTTTTTTTTCCTTTTTCGGATACTGTGGTCTTTCTTGTTCTATTTTTCATCTTTTCTTTTTTTCATTTTCGGCTACTGTGGTTTTTCTAATTTTGTTTCTCACCTTTATTTTCCATTTTTCGCTGGCAACTTTACTTTTCATTTTTCAAATCATTTCTGCTTCTTCTCATTCACGTCTGACAAGTCTTGAAAGTAGGCTTCTATTTTTGAGCACTTGAAACATGTTGACTGTTTTTCAAGTAAATTTACAGATTGTTTTAAAATTTTACTGACTATAATTCAGAGGGTAACAAAAGTCAAGAGGAGGATAAAATCCAGGATAAAGAAAAAAAATAGACCATGAGGTCGCAAACCCCGTTGAAGGAGAGAAAACCGCGAAAAACGCATGAACACTTTGCATTCAGGAGAGATGGCTCCAAAGCACACCAATATTTTCTTAATTTTTGAGCCTTAAAAATAAAGTTCCTTTCTACTTTGAGTGGCTTATAAATTTGTTTGAGTTGGAAAAAAATACATTATAGAAGAAAGTGTCTGTCAATTTAAAGGTTATTTTTAGCTAGTATATCAGACTATAACTGTCAAAGCTAAAAAAATAAGATGTGAAAAGGGTTTTAAGGTTTAAGCACTCTTCCCAACATTTCATCACTTTTAAAAGAAGCTCTTTCATTGGTTATTGTTAATTTATATAATTGCTTTCCGATTTATTTTAAGCAAATAGAAACTACATTTTATCACGCTTTTGTCTTAGTATAAAAACATCAAATATAATATTTTTTATATCGCACAAAAATTATTACAGATATCTTAAAACTATATTATTTGAAATAATTCTTGATTCTAATTATCAAAGTTTTTGTTATTTTCTTGTATATAAGAAATATTTTTTTTTTTTTTAACTGCATTAAAAATCGTCCGTGAAAAACTATTATATAAATAAAGAAAATGAATTCACACAACATTCATCATTCAACAGAAAATGAAATTACATGCTTTAATTTGAATTATTTGCATTTTATTTTTGGTATAACCAGGGGTCTAGAAATAAAACAAGCTCCTGTTCTCCACAGTGTAAAAATGTAAAAAAATTTCGCCACGATGTAAAAAATTAAAAATCATTTAAATAGTATTTAACAAATAAATGAAATCATGTTCTTTTCTATTGTTTAGCATACTTGTTCCTAGAAATTTTGAATTTTCGTAGAGTCCTGTATTTAACTAACTCCCTTTTTTCAACATGGTCCTTACAGTTTATAACGTAGTTGAAATTATCATTGTCCATGCCAATATGCCTTATTAACAACTAGAAAGCTATCTTGCCACAGCACAACAGCTTCAGAATAATGGTACTGTTTTACTGTTATACACATTTAAACTTATACATGTTTTGCACCATTTTAGTGCAAAAAAATGTAATCGTAATCGCCTATTCTACTCTTTCAACGGTTGAAAACGCTTTCATATTATTTTAGAGCTTCACAGAACAACCAAATTCTTGTCTGATCAAGAGGGAAAAAGCCTTCTTATGCCATATCGTACCGTTTTTCAATACAGTAAGAATAAAAACGCCAGTCTAAACACTCTTTGTGGTATAAATATAAAAAAAAAACAAATTTGACAATTATTACGATACAAATTAAAAAACAAAAACAAATTGACAATCAGTACGTTACAAATAAAAAACTTGAAAAAAAAACTTAGTTGGAGAATGATTACTGAAGAATGATAGAAAGCCTAAATCAAATAATCCTCACCATAAAAAAAAAATAATAATAATGCCAAATTGGTCCGTTCTTCCCTACACCTGTACAAATCTTTCCTAAGCAGTACAAACGAAAAACCGAAATCGGACAACTATCACGATACAAAATAATAATAATAATAAATAAATAAAATAAATTATCATTACGATACAAAATAATAATAATAAATAAATAAAATAAACAATCATTACGATACAAATAAAAAACCTGAATCGCATATACTCATCACAAATTGACGAAACAAAAAAAAAATAATAAATAAATAAATAAATAAATAAATAAATAAAACATGCGAATAAGCATCTATACCAACGCTACATCACTTGCAGATATCCCTCATTATTTTAGTATGAGAGTTAAGTTTAAATAATCGGTCATAGTTAGAGTTTCGGTCATAATAATTTAAACACCGGGGTAAAAAAAACTTTAAATATTACGAATTTTCTAAATAATTAATATTTTAAAAGCATTCAAAATTTACTTCATCTATCGACGTACAAAAAAAAAAAAGAAAAAAATACTTTTCTCCTTATTATAAATATTTTTATTCACAGCAAAGGATGAAAGGGAAAACACGTTAATCTTGTTACGGTAAGACTACAGACTTTCTCGTTTCGCCGACTTTTTTAGCTTTGATGTTTTATTCTACAAACAGCAGTACAAAGAAGATTTTGCTGCACCTTCCTTGTATCTTGGTATTTCGGAATATAGTTTGAAAATTAAACTAAATTTAGAGGCACGAATTTCTTAACATTCAAAAACGTTTTTATAAAATTTGAGGAAAAAAGTATTGTCAGGATAAATAAAAATCAAACTGAAAAAAGAAAAAAAAATTATAAATTTTAAACACATAATTTTTTTTTTTTTTTTTTTGCGTAGCATATTGTTATTGCTATGTTGGAAAACTATTAAAATAAGTATTATTATTTTTGTACGTAGTATTCCTGAAATAATTTTTTTTTATTCTCAAAGATATAAAATTACTAACAAAAGAAATATTTACA